GGAAGCATATAGGCATGTGTCCTTGAAACATCATTAGCGACCAGCAAAATATTGTTATCACTAACAGAATAATATAAGACGCATTGGTACAAGTACCAAGATTGCCTGTGGTAATCCGGTATTATACTACTCTTCCTTTACGGTACACCGGTCTACTTCTGCAGACTTCAGAGAAAACAGCTGGCTTGCATCCAAACCGTTTTAAAACTACTTGTCCCTGTGACTGAGAAGCTGACGAGTTTGGTTGCATCCTTACCAGATGCTCTGAGCAGTTCGATTTTAACCAGCCCAACTTATCCGCTGTACTATGATTTCCAATAACGCTTTTCGAAGTGACCAAGCACAAGGTCCGTTTACGTTCCTTACAAGTGTCGGATGAGCCTTACCAAAGGTCAGTCGTTCTGTTCGCTGTCTGACATCTCGATTCAAGAAATAAGAACAGTTATTTTCGATAAGGTTTTGGTCAGCCTCAGAAGGATACATCCTCACTTCTGGTTTTGTTTTTGGCATTTGTTCATTAATATATCCAGGGTTTCGGCAACTCAGCTTGCGGTTCACTTATGGAAATGGCACTGACTAACTGTTTCCTTGAACTGTTGCGTATCTGTGAGCCAGGTACAGTGCCCTCTGACATGACAATCATTTTATGCTATTAATTATTTTGATATCTTCTGAAATTCATTTCAGTGCGCGCCAGTGAGATAAATCTAGCCGATTTCTCTAACGGAAGCTGTGTTTGGAAGTGACGGATTTACCTAAGTTTCAAACTTTAATCTGACTATTTGGCTTTACAACGGGAGCAGTCATCAGGTGATAGAAATGTTTCTAGTGCAAAAGTTGAATGAGTGTTTGTCGAAAAGTTTTTTTTATCACGTGATGATAAGTTCCGTTTTGAAGCTGAAATACCGGATTAAGGTTTATAGAATGTGTAAATCCATGACGTCTAAATCCACGAGTTTAGAAAACGTGTGCCTGTTTTATTAGCATAATTTATTATTTAGACGTAATAATTAATTTTTTGAGTGTTTTAAATCTGATTGACAACTTTCATAAAGTTTCATGTGCATGGCTGCATATTTTTTACCTACATGCTTTCAAATCATTTGATTTTAGGAACAGCCACATAGACTGGAATTACGTCGTCAATTGCTTCGTCGTTGTATTCGTTTGCGTGTTTTACGTTTTTTACGTCATTATACATTTCTGTCGGCCAGTTTTCATGGTAATTATTGCTCTTTAATTGCATGTTCTGTTTAAAATTGATTTTCACTTTAATGAGAATAACGTGCTTTTCTAAACAACCTTCGCAAAATGTTGCGGCGAGGTTCAATGATAAAATTGTATTAGTTGGAAAAAAATTTATTTTACATCTCTAAGGGCCATTTAAGACATCGAGTCTTTGCATTAATTAATTCAAGAGAGACTAAAGGGCCCGTAGGATGGCAAAATCGTAGAAGTTCGCCAGATCAAAATGGATGAAAATAACATATAAAATAATTTTATGGCAAAGCCTTGGAGATTCCTTCATCCAGCAGTGAATCGAAAGTAGCTGATAATGATGAATTTGCATTGATATTTCATATACCAATTATATGTCATTCTTTGGTGGAGGGTCTCTGAAATTCTCCTCTGAAATTTTCTCAGGTGACACTTTATACAATTGCAGCGAGAAGAAAATTTTCCAGGTGCGCCAACCTTTTTGGAGGCGTCGGAAAAGCAGTCTCAACAAGAAAGCGCTTGTCCTGCAAGTGACTGTAAGTCTGATTTTACTGCATGCCTGTGAATGTTGATCGTTCCTCACGGGAGACATCAGAAATTTAGAAATATTCGAGCACTGGTGCCTTTTACCCTAGTGCAAGTGCATTTTTTTCGATGGCGCGTCTAAATAAGAGGTCCATATCCTCGGAATTGTTGTCAGAAGCTCGACTGTCATCCAAGAGTGCCGGCTGCGCCGGCTTGAACATATTCTTCGTGGACCCCCTCACACCAAACCGATTATATCTAAAACACTGCATGTCGTTCCTTGCATTTGTAGCGTCAACGGATGGGTGGTAAAATCAGGACCTGTATGGTTACTGTGAAAGTTGACGTAAAACGGATCGCTGAACAAAATCTGTACGGATTACGCAGGTGGAGGGCGGAATGATTATCGTGGTAATGGACCTGGCGCTCGACCGTGTGGCTTCGAGGGCCATGGTATGCAGCGTCATTGGAGTCGACTAAAACACTCATGGCTGCAGCCGTAACGAACGAACAATCATCTCTGTTATCATAGCATGTTAACTAGTTGTAGACAGTTGACTTGCTATCCGTTTCCCGCTGAGCTGAACTACAGTACATTGAGGAAATCAGTACTTGGGAAATTGCACTTTACGCAGTGCATTATTCTTGTTTTTATTAAGATAAATGCAAACAGTTGCTGCTTATTTTTTTAAATTTGTGCTCTATTTCTACGCAAAACTTTTCTCATAAATACATAAGAAGGTTTGTCCTCCATGGTTTCACCGGCTTCATGGCTGTCGTGGAATGTTTCTTATTATGAAAGGATTTAACTGGGGTAAGTAGCACACAGCTGTTTTTATATACGTGTTCCTGTGTTTTTCGTTGCGTCCGTTCTCCATTCACGAACGAACGTGAAGCTAGTTTTATTTTAATTTGCTATCTATAAAATATTTGAATAAAATGAAACACGATTATCATGTTCATTAATGGTAGCTAAAACGTCGAATGTAGAATTTCAACAAAGAGCAGATCAGCGCGCGGACGTTTATCGTTCAGTCATTCAACCTGATCTTGCCAGGAATTTCATGCTTTGTCCTTGGCTTCTTCGGTATACTCCATCTTTGGCAGAATGCATTTGCTGAAATGCTTCGATTTGGGGATCGTCTGTTTTATAAGGTATGCTTGAGGATTGAGCGCTCTTATCATTGGCTTTAAAATGCTTCCCATAGGACTGGTGGAACGCCACGGACATGAGCACCTACTACCGAACTTGGAATATCGTCGTTTACGAATGGCTGTATACGTATGTCTACCGCGACATGTACCCGGTAAATGATCCCGCTTTATTTCACGCAGTGTTATGTTATTTAAGGAAAAAGTCTTGATTCGATAATTGTAAACAGGAGGAAAAGCACACGATGCTAATATCATGTCAATAATTGGGGGGAGGGGGGGGGACAACCATTCTGTGTGTAATTAGGACTGAAATAAAAAATAAAGTGAGATGCGATGCAATTCAGTGCAAAGTGGAATAAACTAATTTTAATCCATTAAAGCAAAAGAACGTAATATAGCAATATAAAACCCCCCGTAGCATTCACCGAAACAGAACGTATTTAAGTTGTAGTTGTGACAGTAACAAATGTCATAAATATCATGATGTGTAACTGATTCATACCTTGGTCAAAGTAGATCGCGTTAAAGTACTTTTGCCATGAGTTCACAGGGTGTAACGGCTTCTATTCTTAAATACTTTTGCCGTGTTTTATTATATTGAATACGGCTTTTATTTTATGAGTGTGTCTTGGGTAATACGACAGATTGTTAGTTTTTTTGAACGGGCTGCAAAGTTTTTGTATAAAACAAGTTAGAAAGTAGTTTCTCTCTTAGTAAGTCAGAAAAAGGCTGATTTCTTCCCAGTCCTTCAAAAAATGATGACTTTTATGCCAGAGACAGAAGGTGTCTCTGTTCGGTCATAGATGAAGACCGGTGCTTATGAAAAATAAAAACAATAGACAATTTACAATTCTTTCGGCACAGCCATTTTATCAAATTGTAAACTGTAGCTGCTTAATCTCATCTTGCAGTATTTCATTATCTTTACAATATGTACAGGTTACAAACGTCAAGCCTGTAGCAATGTCTATGAGTTTCAAACGTGACGAATTGCAGAATGCGCAGTTTTAATTAGCAATTCAAATGTATTGTCTTCTGCGAAAGACGCCGTTATTATTAACCTTACCTGACAACAAAATATTGAAAGACAATCTCACTCTCCTTCATGTTCCATCATGGATTTAATTTTATCTTCAGGGTTTTGAATTTCAAAGAGAAATCTTCCCAATTCATGCACTAGGTTAAAAAATAATCTACTCATTCATCTCTGTCTGCTATTCATTCGAGAATCAGGGACAGCAGTTTCAGAATTTTTTGTAATGGCAGATTCCACAGACTGGATTAAAAGGCGCTTCTATGTCATTTACTCTTGACCCTAAGTCTGTGTGCCATGAAGATACCGTGTGATAGAGCGCGCTTTTAGTTTTCTTTGCTGTTTTGGTTAAATTTCCATATATCAATTATGATCGTTCGGTTTCATGTAGGAGCGGATCAGAGTTTTCTTAGACAATATTTGGAGCTCATTTATAACTGCTGATTTAATGGTCTATTTCCATTGTTTCAGCTCTGTGGAAAGAAGTGTCGCACTCTCGCCATAACTATGGTGTTTTTTCTATCGGCTGTCGTTCACGAATACATCCTAACGGTCGCGTTTCGTTTCTTTTATCCCGTTTTGTTCCTTCAGTTCTTCTTGGCAGCTGGACCAGGTATGTTTTTGTTGTGTCTGTTTTGGCTATGACCTCACGGTTTTCGATCGGTTGCTCTTACGCAAAAATTCCACATGGGTTGATTAAATCAATTTCCGCCACCCAGATGATTAAGCGGTCATCGAAACTGAATGACTGATTGATTAAGCTCTTTTTCCTTAACTTATGTTATGACTAATAATGACTGTGTAGTGTGTATGCTATAGAATGCTTACTATATGATGAAGTTTTTCTTATATGGTACTATAAATAGTACAGTCTTTTAATTCTGTGCGATGAATCTTCCTCTTCAAGCTGATCATACCCTGTGCAATACGAGCACAATATCATTATTTCGAATATAATCAATATATTATACAAAATGCAGTAGCATGCAGTACTGACTATATAGTTAAACTTCTGTGCTGTCGTACTGCTCAAATTATGCTGATTACCTAAATACCGGCTGTGAGGTACAATATTGCACTATCATGCTATAAATGGTGCAGTTTATACAATGCTTTGTTGTATAGCTAGTATAAGGCAGTACGCAGTCATGCACAGTTCTTTAGTGTGGAGTACTGACTGCACAATATGATATGGATGTTACTGATCTAAGTACGTAGTTCTCTCGACTTTTTTCTACAAAGTTTAATAGAATATTAAGGCGTCTTTTCTCTTTAGTATTGCATGCGCAAGCACCTTCATGCAGTACCTTGGGTTGCATTACATATTGCATAGGAGAATACTGTAATACAGAATGCAGACTATGCAGCTAGGTAACATAGTGCAGTAGCACAGTGCTGCCATGCTATAAGTTTATTTTATAATTTTCGCTCTTCTGTGCCATTCCACTCTAGTAAATGACCAATAATTTGGACTACATGATAACAATATAGTAAAGGGCGGAGTATTATCTACATAGATTATGATCATAGTAATTTATGCCACTGAGTCGACACTATTGTATCCTGTACCACCATAATATATTATTATTATACATTTAGCAATATTGATGGCACGTTATTATTCTGTCGATACAGTGTTATATAGGTAATATTCAGGACTACGAGAAAGTATTATCATAAAATATACTACT